TAAAAGCTTAAATAAACTAATAAATGTTTTTTATCGAAAAACTTAAACAAAATAAGAGTAGGTACTAATGAGACACTTGAGATTGCATGTTCTATACCAGTTGGTTAATTTTAGGTTCTGTTTTTGCCAGAGCTATCATCGGGATGCTATCGACATCAAGACGATTTCGCTGTTTAGCTTTAATTAAAACTAGAGCAGAAAAGCTTGTTTTACATAAGTAAGTTGAAGAAAAAGGATACTAGTATTCGCAAAGCAAGAGAGGCAAGTGTCGAATTAACAAGCAATCTCTTGATCTATTTCTCCAATGTTAAAAGATGGAAGTCATCTTCCATGGATGAATCAGCCTTCATTTCTAGAAATTCTTCCTGAACTTCTTCTGGTAATTGTGGCACATCGACAACAAATGAATTTCTTGTCATGTGCCATATTGGTGATTCTGAATTGATGTCTCGATAATATCGGCGAAATTCGTCTTCCAGCGCTTGCAAATGAGTTTTTATATCAGCTTTTAAATTTGCGTGCAGTATGTTATTTTTAATTCCTTCGAACAGCCGAGAAAAAGGTATAACATTTTCCGAGGACACTTTTTGATTCCAAAGTTGAAGCTTTGATATGAACTCCTGAATATAATCATAATTGCTTATTATAGTGTTGTTTCTGTCCTGAAGTTTCAAGTTTAGCTCATTCAAGGAGTCAGATATGTCAGTTAAATAAGTCAACCCCCATTGAAATGTGTCTTCTTTAAACATTGTCAAGAAATCATGTTTTTCTTTGAACAGAAGAACTTTGAGATCAGAACCGAGATCCTCGCAAAGTAAAGTAAATAACCGACTGTTCAAAGCGCTGCTTTTGATGTATACAGTCGTTAAAGCCAAGTCCAAAGTCTGGCGTAATTTCTGTGGCAATGTTTTGGAAGCCAAGCTTGCCGATGAATAACACAATGTGTACTAACCATTGCGGGATTTTTTTCCTTGAGCTTTTTAGCTAAGCCCGATCGAACGCCTATCATTGCAGGTGCGCCATTTGTGCAAAGTCCAATAAGTTTCTTCCAATCCAAATAATTTTTTCCAACAAAATTTGATATTGAATTAAATGTATCTTCAGATGTAGTACCTGCTGTCAAAGATTGGGAGTACAAAATCTCTTCTTGAATGATATATCCGCCGATGTAACGAACATAAACTATTAACTGTGCACAATTAACGATGTCCGTGGATTCATCGCAATGAATGGCAAAAAATGACGATCATTTTACTTTGTTAATTATTTGTGACTTTATGTCTGCTGCAATGTCATCGATTCTACGCTTGACTGTGTTATTCTTTGCTCTGCATCTTCTCTTAAATTATCTTTTAGTACACATGGTTTTATTAATTCTTCACTGATAGTATGAGGTTCCTTTTGCTTTGCTATCATACAAGCTATTTCAAATGAAGCTTTGAGATTATATGCTCATTATTTCATCTTAATAACGTAATGTATTCGAGAGTATATTGGCCACCGGGAGATTTACAGGTATATTTTTGTAGGCAGGTTGACGTTATAATAGTAATTTTAAATACATTTCGAATCAATATTAGATACTTAAAGTTCGTCGTTTCAAAATTCTTTCGTCATGTTGGTTTATTTGATTGTTATGCGGAAAAAAGTCCCAATGGCCGATTTATGAACACGTCACCACTCAAACAACAATTTAGTAAATTAAATAAAAATGGTAACTGAAGTTTGTAAATGCACAAACTTATCTTTTAACATTGAGACACAATAATCTGACACACTCAAACAGATTTCTAAACAAAACATGTACATCGAAACGTCAAATTTTTCGCAAGTTTGTGGGAATGAATGTCACAGATGCTCATCCGCGTCTGGTAGGTACACATTTGTTTTCTAAGTGATGAATGTTAAGCGGAGCGCGGCAGGGGTGCGCGCCGATTTCATGTTATGACTTGTCGAAATTTGTATAACCTGCGATTGACGACGCCGGGTTTTGAAACAGCGGTTGACAGAATAAGTGAATATATGCTATTTAATTTCTAATTTTATGCGTGTAAGTTAAACATTACATTGTAATGTTATTTGCTAATGTTGTTTGTTTATTTTTTTCGTTTTTTCTTTCTAAAATGCAAACGCTTTCCGCCCCCCTCTCTATGCCTCCTTGGGAGGCGCGCCCCCCTGGTTGGGAACTCCTGCTTTAGGGGTATCCTAAAAATCTCAAACATGGTACAAAAAATCATGGTGAACATGCAAATTTCAGATACATGCTGTTTTCTTATGGGAGAAGGGTGGTGCCTCCAGCACCCCACTGTACTGTGCGCGCACTAATCAGTGCTAAAAAGACATGCAATCCTGCGTCTTAGCTTGTATGGAACAAGATCGTAAAGTTTGGGTTACATTTTGATTTAGAGAGGTCAATTTTATACTCGTATTTATAGCTGTATTGGAATTTAATATCAATTATAAAAATCAACCATGATTTGAATGGCCACTAAATAGTAATACTAATGATAAAGTGCATGACCTCAAAAAGAGCATCAAGCTAATATATCGCATCATCTCATTAAGAACTGTATCGATTTACCTATCTAAAGTCCAGAGCTTCTTGCTTCATAATACCCAATGCAGCAATCTGGAATCACCCAATCATGTGTCAATTATTATTGTATCATATGGATTCCGGAGGCTCTAATCTAGATTACCCATGCAGTATGTATGGTACGAACACGCTGTATCAGCAGTGTTATTGTGAACGGTTAGGAAATAATATGGGTCGACGGAAATGCTGCAGTCAGCAGAGCAATCACCTCGCAATACCTAGCAACAAGGATTTAGGATAGAATGAAGTTAACCATAAAGAATTAAGGTGTTCTTCTATGCGAGTCAAAGCCCTAAAGGATTTTAAATTTATTACACCCAAATAGTTGTTTTTGTGAGCAGTTGGCACTAAAACTTCTACTTAAGTAACCTATTCGAGACATTTACCTTCGTAGACCTGTAGAGAAAGCTTCCCGTTGTTATGAAACAGTAATAAATGTGATCTTTCTAAATTTTATAGAAAAGAGCTGTTGACCGGAACAATTCAATATTGCCTTATAGGAATTCCACGCCTCAATAGACCCTCTAAAGCCTTTGCTTGGAAGAATGATTCGAATAAACCATACAAATCTCATGCGGCACAAAAGAATTCGCAATAATATGCAGAGTGGCCCATCTGAAATTCAATCTGAGACCTTCCTATCGACAAAATAGCGCTATACAGTGTTATTAAAAAATCAATGGCAATATTTTTAGGCCAGAAATCACATTCAAAAACAACAATAAAAGTCCCTATGAACGAATGAATTAACTAAATTAAATGCCCACCGGGCGCTTTTGCACCTTTATGCCTCAAGCCCCGCCCTCCCGGTCAAGTTGAGTATAGCTCGACCTCCTTAGCATGCTGGGGATCCAAAATATTCTGCCTGCAGCAAGAGGTGAAATGTCTTATGGGCGAACTGGCAACTCCAAGGTCATCCTCTAATCAAAATCCAGCATTACCGGCATCGACTCACGAAATGCTTGCTAAGATGATATTTTATCTGAATATGGCGAGAGTAAAATATAAAGCAACACAATCAGTAGCTCTGATGATATACGTGAAATGAATCGTGACTACTGTGGGATATGAAGAAGTTAAGGAGACATCTAAAGTGCTACATGTAGGCTGTGAACATATCGGCGTAATGTAGGTGGTAGAGCTTGTAAAACTGTATGGAATAGTTATCTCTGGAATCAGTCTCTGCATAATCTTTGTAGCTGGTATCATGTACGATAGCTTTTTTATATTGGCATCAATGTTTGAACAACGCATGATAATACCGGCACAAAGTACAGCCATAAAGTCATAAGCTTTAAAAAGCATGTGATAAAGCAACATTCTATCCATCCAGGTCAACAAATTTAAGGCATAGAGCTGAACAAACTGAATAAAAACAACCAGATTATATAAAAAAAACTGCATAAATTACGTTAGTGTTTGCTGTTTTGTGTCAGATTATCTAGAAGTAATTCAGCGGAGTGAGAAAGCTGTGTTTTGCAAGTAACATGAATTTGGGATAAATATATCTATACTTTCATGTAATACAATTTTTAAACGATTGTCTACAGCATGTGATTATTTGTTGAAAATAAATGTATTTTGTGCATAATGATTGCATTATGTTTCATTATCCTGAATCCAGGCGGATTGTCGGCTTTCCTTCGACATTTTCGCAAAATCACTAGACACGTAGACGGCCCCATCACCTAACAAATGTCAACTGCGTTACCACCGTTTAACGTGGAGATCCCACTTCTGCAGTGCTACGTGGTCTGTGGCCAACAGTAACCCACAGCGTGACACAGAACATGTGCCGAGGATTCCTCCTCTCTCCCAAAGCGTGCACACATTGAGTCCTCAGCAACCCTCAGCAGGTGCAGTTGGCGACCTAATGTGTTATGGCCAGACCACAGTCTCACTTCCACGTACCCAGCGAATCCCGGTATCTACACTAACTATACCAGATGCCTCGCTGTTAAACTATCACAGCCTACCTACATTGTAACACAGTGCTCGCAGAAACTTTGCACCTCTTTAGTACATAGATTGCGGCCTGGCTATCGGGACAAATTATTTTTCTCCCAGACCAATCATACTTCAGAATATGAGAACCACAAGACAAAATCGTACAAATTTCCGACTGGACAATTGCAGTGTATCTGCCGAGTGGCAGTGACAGTTATAGGCCCAGGTACCCCGGCACCAAAGCCTTCTTCAAAAACCAAACCGTACCAAGCTTATCCACTTCCCTGAGAGACCTTGCGACTCCTGGAATCCCACTCCACTGTTGTCAGATTCTCCACACTCAATTTGTGGTTAAAGCAACAATCGTTAATCTCTCACCGGAATGACTTGGTCTGCGACTCAGCCCCTGTCGTAGTAACTTGTAGATCCTTTACACTCATCCGTATCGTTTTTACAGGAACTGAAAGTAACGTAGAAGAACTCTACGAGCACAAGCTTCACCAGCCCGCAGTCAGCTTTGTGATTGGACCTTTTGGAGGTGTCCAGAACAGGGATTTCATTTGCGTGTTGTGTATAGATGGGACCCTTTGCTTCTTCGAACAGGAGAGCGAAGGTTTCATGTGCATGCTGCCTGATTGTCTACTACCTGGACCATTCGTTTACGTTAAAGAAGGAGATTTGTTTGTAACTAGTGGAGGAAAATGGATGTTGGAGTCTTATCGGTTAGTACACTGTGATAAAAAGCAAAATGTACAATAGGCTAGAGATTCCTTGTAACACAAAATGTCTACAACTTTCAACATAAAGACCATTTTTGTGTTAGAGTTATACTTTTCCACATAAAGGAGAGGAACGGCACCGGTATTATGTCAAATAATCACTATGATAGCGATTTGATCGCCGCTCTTATCATTTGTGAGCTAGCTATAATATATCCAACGAACGTACCGAGTAATAAATTATACGACCGGCACGCGCCTCATTCCTATTGGTCCGTTTTCGGTAGATAAGCCGCCAAGTTCACAATAGCACTTTAATTGTTTCTGAAGTTCTGTGGCGTGCGGTTGATTTTTTTGTGTGCTTCATTTATTTTGGTGAGACAACTTGAATGCCGATTCATTTGAATGATGGTTTGAAAATATTATAAACCGTCAAAGAAGAGAAGTCTGTCATCGTTATGGACAATGCTTCATACCACAGTAGGCGTATTGATAAAGCACCAAACAGTAGAAACAGAAAAGGGAAAATACAAGAATGGCTACGAATGCGTAATGTTCCGTTTGACAACGATATGGTCAAAGCAGAGCTTTTAAATCTGGTCAAGGGCAATAAAAAATAAAAGTGCTGACATCGACGAAATGGTTAAATCTACCAATTGGACTATTTTACGCCTGCCTCCTTACCATTGTGAGTTTTACCCAATCGAGTTAATTTGGGCGCAAATTAAAAACGAAGTCTCCAGAAAAAACATAACTTTCAAGATCGCAGATGCAAAGCAGCTTTTTTACACCGCGGTACAAAATGTAACTCTGGAAAGTTGTAAAAAAGAAATCGAACATGTTGAGAAGGGGGAAGACAACTGACTAATGTATGGAAAGAGTGGTTAAACCAGTGATTATTAGCTTCGGTAACGATTCAGAATCTTCAGATGATACTGATAGTGATATCGATTAGTTAATAAATGTAATTTGTATATTTACTGGATAATGACGAAGGACCTATATCCCTAAACATACTTACCATGTTTATTTCGACGGCTCTATCCGGATAGACTGCAAAGTAGGCTGTTCCAATCCTGTGTTAATCCTGGCCGCTAATTTCTAAGGAGCCCTCTGTCCAAGATTTTGACGTTATCAGTATTGGTTTGACTTGTGGATTGCCGAAATGAACGGTCATTACACATGATTTGAATACTCAATGTTTGAGCAATTTTCTTTATTTTTTTCCCATGTATTAAAATTATTTTTGTATTATAAAAAATATGGAAAGTTAACGAATCATAAAAAAAAGATAGAAGAAACAGTGAAAATAAATTAAATGGTATCTCAATTCATTTTAAAAACTACACGCCACTGGCGATAACGAATCACCGGTTTTGCAGGTAGTTGTGCGGAGTATTATTACTCCGTTGGTTCGTTGGATAAATTATAGTGGCTATCCCACGCAACGCGTACTTGCTGCCAACGCCAACTGTGGGGGAATGGCACAATGACAAATATTATAGGATTTACAGCTTAGGTTATAAAAGCTATAGCTGGCTTCTGCTAGTGCCATTTCTGAAGGAGATGTTGCATCACATCAGAGCCAAAGCTATAGCTCAGATGTTTTGACGTTTAGGTAACGTACTACAAGTAAACATGATGTAAATGAGAGCTTGGTCCAAAGTGACAATCATTGCGATATCGCTGTCCCTTACGTTTTCCCGATACGGTATAAGTATACCTAAACTATTGAACTTAAACGTGCTGTATACATAGGTACTACATTTGAACCGTAACTGCTATAGTATTAAGAAAATTGTTCCACCGGACAATATACATGTTTTCTAAGTTTTATTATTGCATTTGCAGTTTCAAGCATCTGTCAGAGGCTGAAGGGAAAAAAAGAAAAGCCAATTTAACACCTTCATGGTGTTACAACCTGGGGGAATACGTGTTGGATATGCAGACGGTGGATGACAGAGGCAACAAAGAGACTTGGATAAACGTGTTGGGGGAACGCAATCTGTTCTGTCTTAATTCGAAGGGGAAATTGAAATTTATGAAACGGCTCGAGTACACGCCCGTCCTGCTCTACGCTTTCATTTGCAGTGAGTGTTTTTTGTTTGTTTCTCTACTACTTGCACATAAGCGGAGTGAAATTCGTACTGTGTCCAAATCCAAAATCTGAATATTTGGTCAGCTAATATTAACACGTTTTTATTAGCTTATAACGAAATTTTTTGTCTAAATTTCAACAATTACAAAAAGTCTGGCTAACTTGAAAAAGTGCACAGATGTCAAGGGCCGATGACAATACAGAAATTGAATTTGAAATTTTTTAAGAAATTTGAATTTAGAAATTTGAAAAAAATTTATTTGTGACAATTTGGAAAGTATGTAATTGGAAAAATCGAAAATTTGGAACATGATTTGAGGATTTGTAAATTTTGAAAAAATTTAGGGAATTTCGTTTGGAAACATATACTAAAGTTCAAAGCTCTTGATTATAAGTACTTTTGTAGTCGTTTTGGCACTAAAATTACAGAAAATAAATTATTATTTTTTTAACAAAACAATAATTTTAGCTTTTGATATCCAGCACTCCACACCTTTCACCTTGATTTTTAAATTCATCTCATTCCAATTTAATTAGGTATACTTGATTTTTGAATTTTATATCGCAGTAGCACAAATTCTCCTATACTAGACAATTATTTTCTACTTTTTAGTTCGATTTGCTAAAGCATGTTTTTTTAGTTTTTCTAAACCATAATCTATTTTTTTACAACATCAGATGGTCTTATCTTGCATTCTTCATTTCTCCCAGGAAGCACATTTGCTTGGAGCAGAAAATGCCTTGAAAATCCAACGCTATGGCAGTAATGTCTCTCACAAAAATAAATAGTCATTATCAGGCTGATTGAAAAACCAATGGCAATATTTGTATGGAAGGGAATAGGCCCAATCATGACATGTAAAGTTCAGAAAAAGAGAAGTGCATGCCTCCTTAGCGAGATTAAGAGCTGCAGTTATGATTTCAAAATCATGAAAAAATCGTATCATACAGCACAGAAGTAGTTATTTATTATACAAGGGAAAAAAGTACTAGATTTTAGCTTGAGGTTGTTGTGAAAAAACGAAAGCTAAAATCTAGTATTTTTCCCGTGTGTTTTTTTTTGTGACGGGTAAAACGACGATTTAATATTGAAAAATTAAATTATTACAATATTTAAGTCAGAAAATTATCGATGTGAAATTTGAATTTTGAAATGCTATGTTGTACTTATAGCGACAATTAGACCTGCGTTGCTAAGGAAACTTTTAAAATAATCAAATAGCTGTCAATTTAATTTTGTGATTTCGTTTGAAGATTGTCAACTTAGTGGTTGTTTAGAAGCTATTTTTAATACTATAAAGTAGAAAATGTCTGATTCCGAGTTTTCTTTAATTTCACCGGAATTAGTAGAAGTAGCCAAAGTAGCGTCACAAAAATTATTGCCAGCTAAATCGTTTATACAATATCCGGGAAAGAAGTACTCATTTTTTCCCGGAGAAAAAAGAAATTTCATAAAAACCGGCATTTTGTTACCTGTCAACAGAGATAAAATGTCAAACTTTTTTCCTGTCACAGAAAAAAATATTTTTTCTACCAGATTGCTGAAAGTACGACTTGTCCGCAAACATTTTTGGTTTGGAAAGAGTTAGTTTTCCACAGGCCTTGCGACATAGTTACTTTTCCGAACGGCGAGTCTAAAAGTAAAAATCCCACCGAGAGTTAAATTTAATCATTGTATACATAAATGAAATGTAGCTGTCACATTCCAAAGGGCGATTAAATTTGATACTTGGCTAATTTGCGAGCTCTGCTTTGCGTTGCTCGCCTGTGGATAAGTATAGCTTTCCGCACTTGTTAGGAAAATTACTATTTCACACCACTTTCTGAAATGTCTACTGTATTTTACCTCACACACCAACAACTAGGAAGGATTGCAATCTCAAAAAAATTCGGAAATGAGACATTAAGTTGTTTGAATATTACGTTCGAAAAACCATGTCACTTATTCGTCGGTCTGTCTGTCTGTTAATCATTGATCTCCGTTATAACTAGAAAAGTACTGGTACTACTGTGCCACGAACGAGAAAGCTTTACAGTTTTTGAAGATCTGTCTAGTGGCAGCGCAGCTTGAGTCAAAATATGAAAAAAATCAAAATAACTCTTTCGTTTGCACATTGAGTGTATAAAATTTCAAATTTAAGTGAATGATAATGTTTCTCACTGATGCTCGATCTATTCTACGGTTTTATGTCAAGATACAAGAAATGCTCATGGCCGTCGAATAATAAAAACTTTGCAAAAGTTGACTTAGATACTAAACATGCTGCATATTAAGAGCCTATTTATCCAGAACAGAGTCAATCTACTTGAGGCCATTTTTTTGACGAGGTTTTTACTACAACTTAAATTGTCCCTGTTGGCACATTTTCGTCAGTTAAATATGCAGTTTTCGAAACGAGTACTTTTGACGAGGAAGGGTTGTTGGTTTTTCGCTCAACCTTCTCCCTTTATCTGGGCTTGTGAGCGGCATTCAGTTCACCCTCTTATCAACCCAAGCAGATACTTAGCAATGATGGTTGGCAAAAGTTTGACCTGAGAGTAAGCAACAGCTGATGAAATAAATCCAAGTCGCCCCCGTACGTGGTGGACGGATAACTTCAAGTGAGATCTAGCAAAAATGAACTTGTAGTGATGGAAGATCGCACCAGATGGAGGCAAGTAGAGAAGTCAGTCAAAACCCACCCGGGGTTCTAGTTCTATTTACAGTGTTAAAAAATATATTCGGCACAAGTTAGTCCCCCTTAGAAATATAAATAAATGGATCATGTCAGTTAAACAGGCTCATGTAACTAATCCTTAGTATATAGTAATAGAGTTTGTTATTTTTGGCTCTTAGGTATTATTTCATTATTTGATAATGTACAAACAAACAATTAAAAAAAAACGGACCGACCACTAACTGTCTCAGCGCTTTACATGGTGTGAAACTTTACTGAACGTATTGAAAAAATCCACTTATAAATAGGGAACACAATTTTGATACATACATTGTTTTTCTTTTTAAAACCCACACCTCACTTTCCTTGTATTTAAAGAAGGTGTTCAAAATGTCGTCCTCCACTTTCCACATAAGCTTCATTACGGCAAACCCAGTTTCATCTTGCTCTAGGTCCTCGAAGTTGTCCGTTTACTATTTCAGCCGCGTTTAAATTTTTTTCGCGAAGTTGTGCTTCAGTTGTTATTGGACCAGCCCCATGAACCATCCCTTTAAGTTCTCCCAAATACCAGAAATCCATCGGATTGAGGTCAGGAGATTTTGCTGGCCATTTTTGAGGATCAGGAGCATTTCGACCGATCCAGCGATTCAAATACTGGCGCCTCTAAAAATATGTGGTGGTGCCCCGTCATGAAGCAACCACAAATTCTGTCTCCGTTGTAATGGCATGTTGTCTAATGTCTGTTCCAAAAGTTCTGGTAGGTTGTTGGCTAGAAAGCTAAGGTATCCTTCTCCTGACAACTTTGGGGGTAACTCGAAAGGGCCAATTACCTGATCGTCAAGAATACCCGCCCAAATATTTCATTTTAAAACGTTGTTGGAAATGACCTTCACGAATGGTATGAGGTAAGTATTATGGAAATTTAATATTCCGTCTCGCGTAAAAGTACATGCGTCCGTCGCTAGAATGTTTTTAAAAAAATCCGGATTTTCAATGTTTTTGTGCATAAACCACTGTCAGAATGTTAAGTCTGCGAGGATAGTCTTCTGGTAACAAGGCCTGCGCTCGTTGTACATGGTAGGGATAAAGCAAATTTTCCCGTAGGATTCTATGTACTATATATAGTATGCGATAGTCCTACGCGGCGGCCTAATTCCCGAGTGCTGATATCTGCATTGATTTCAACGATATTTAAAATTCATTCCTCCTACTCTACTGTAACCTGTATTTCACGAGTACGAATATTAGTGGGCTGAACACTTCCTGTATCTCGAAGTCTATGGTACAATTGCACAAATGTCCTTCTGTCTGGGTGTACCCGTTTTCGAAATCTGTTGCTATAAATTTGAGCTGCAAGATTGGAATTCTGACGAGCTTCACCGTAAACTAACATATGTCGACGGACTCTTAATTCGAGAACATTGTAAATAGTCAGCTAAAGGATAAGATGACTTCGGGTCCTGATGGTATTCCTTCGTTCCTTGTAAAGGACTGTGTTAGAGCTTTTTCTCCTGTACTTACTCTCTTATTCAACATGTGCTTAAAATCCAATATATTCCCGAATATATGCAAGGTGTCCAAAGTTTGTCCGGTCTTCAAAAATGAAGAAAAATCAGATGTCGAGAATTATCGTCCAATTTCTCTTATATGCATTTTTGCGAAAGTCTTTGAAATAATCTTGTACAATCGCTTGTATCCTTCAATAAAAAATCAAATATCACAAAAACAGCATGGTTTTGTCAGCAACCGATCTACAGTCACCAATTTGGTTATTTTAACCCAATATATTTCTGAAGCTCTAGAAGATAACTGCCAAGTTGATGTGATCTATACGGATTTTTCAAAGGCATTTGACAAAATTGATCATGGGGTTTTGTTGATGAAACTTGGTCACTTTGGTCTCTCACTTAGCGCTATAACATTCTTCAGGTCGTATTTGTCAGAGCGAAAACAATTTGTTGAATATTATGGCTTCAAATCTGAAACCTACTTAGCCCCATCTGGTGGTCCCCAGGGGTCCAACTTGGGACCATTGTTATTTTTATTATTCATAAATGATCTTTGTGAAAGTATGAATGGTCAACAGTTATGCTTTGCAGATGATATGAAGATATATTCATCGATCAGTGACGTGCAGGATTGCTTAGATTTACAGATGCAGTTAAGTAGTGTTAGGATTTGGTGCGATCTCAATAAATTACATCTAAATATACCTAAGTAAGTGCAGAGTAGCTGGCTATAGCAGAAAGAAAAATGTTCGTGTATTCAACTATAATATCGATGGTGTGGTGCTGGAAAGAAGCGATATAGTCAAAGATTTGGGTATTATATATGACCGTAAATTAACATTTACTACTCATATTTCGCGGAAAGTTTCGGAAGCCTTTAAGTCTTACGGTTTCATTGTCAGGAACTGTAAGCGAATTGATAACTTAAGGGCCTTAAAAGTCTTATATTTTACATATGTACGTATAAAACTAGAATATGCGAGTGTTGTATGGAATCCGTATTACCAGACTTATATAAATGATATTGAGAGGGTCCAAAGAAAATTTCTAAAGTTTCTATACTCCAAATCTGAAGGAGTTTACCCTGAGCAAGGCATTAGCAATATGGAACTATATGAGCGTTTTGAAATTCATAGTTTAGAATGCAGAAGGAAAGTTTCATGAGCCATATTCCTTTTTAAACTGCTAAATAGCATCATTGACTCCCCAGTCATTTTGGCACAGATTAATTTCAATGTTCCTTCGTTCTCTTCACGCAACTATGTAACTTTTAAGCTATCAAGGGCTAGGACCAATGTGTTAGTCAAATCTCCTACATATGTTATGTGTAAACATCTAAATTGTATTAGCTGTCATTGTGATATATTTACTTGTTCGCTTAACTCAGTAGTTAGAATGGCTTATTTGTATTTGAAATAACTTTTTTTTTTTAACATCACTGAATATTATTTAATTGTGCTTATGTAATTGTCCTATAAATGGGGTAACTGTTGGACAATAAACGCTATTTTTATTATTATTATTATAAATAAACACGACGACGTACGCGAACAAAAACAAAACAACACGCCCGATGCTCTGCATCTACGCAAAACGATAACTAACCACTGTTACCGTTTGCGATCGATTGACGGTTCGATAAGGGTGATAAAAGACCGACGAGCTGTTGTCATGTGTGTTTTAAATATTTGATTTAATGAAACTTACTTACTTACTGACTACAAATTTTGGCTTAACTTAGAAAACTTAATGACATTTATTTGTTAATTACCCAATTCAAAAACGTTTTAGATTAGATTGTGACAATTAGTAAGGTTGTGCTGATTGTGGTCGATATAAAGCACTTAAAGTTGTAAACTATAAAGCCATTTAGACAAAGATCTTTTGGATCATGGGTCATATGAACTTTTTGACTTGTTTTGATCCCCCCTGTTACCCATTTCAATAATGACTACCATACCGTTTACACCCTGTATACTCTCATCATTGCTCAGTTCACATCAGTTTGCCTCCGCATTCAAAGTAGGCGGACGTTCGCTCGTTTGGTTGTCCGGCACGCACATAATGAAGATATATCCGGGATTCAAGTTTTACGGGCAAATGTAGGAGAAACTCTATGAATATGTCTGATAGACGCGTAGAATTACCGGGACTTGAATTATATAGAGAATTGCGACACATCCGCCCCTATCTCCCAATTTTTCACCCCTAAAGAATTTTTCAAACATGATCAAACATCACTGGACTGGTTTTCAAAAACTAGAAAGCTTTTTCGTCTTTGGCATAGTAGCAACCTAGTGAGAAAATTTCATCAAAATCCGAGCGGTACTTAGCAAGTTACAGCCGGATCAAGGATTAGCGGACACACCGGACAGAAATGAGTGACATACTTTTTCGTGATATATAGGTGTATGTCACATACACATAACTCATTTTCGAAATTTTTCGCAATTACAATACTCCCTCGCCCAGTGGCGTAGAAAGCAAAAAACAACATCCATGTCTCGAAATGGATTATTATCTGACTGTCTATAGAAGCAAAGCTAATATAGTTATATGATGATAACAACATCCTACATGCCTCTTCCAGCTGCCGATGTATAATTATATAATTTGTTCCGCACCGAAAAGTGCTTAAAGTTTATCGAGAGAGGAAAACGTTTACTTCAGGTTGTACATTTAACAGAGTTGATTAGAGGGAATAAACGTCTGGCTTGTGCAAATAAATGGACCAAACTGTTCCGCCTCCTGCCCGAACAAAGTTTAAACAGCGTGTCCAGAGAAAAGTTTTGATGTGGCTAGACTTGCCGCCGGGGCCGTTTCACCAGGATCATTTTTGCTGTCTGTTTTGCTCTATTCCACTGTCCATATCGAGTTTATGAGGGGGCACGAACAGTGACAAAATGCGACAAACGACGATACTAAGTAAAAAAGCCAACTTTTATTAGTGCTGTCTAAGGACAACTCAAAGTCCGTTGAGCCGTTTGGTCTGTATCCTATGGAAGAGAAATTTCTAGGTTGAAGTTTTAAATTGTGATTTTATGAAATTTCAATACAGTCAATGGCACTCGCACTGCTAAGACAACTCGAACAACACTTCATAGAACAGGAATAAAAATTCCAAAGGTGAGAGCCAAGTAGAGAGAATATTTATTATTTCCAGATATATAGGGTGTGGAAGAAGTACTGGAACGGCTCGATAACTTTTCGGGAATGCACTTTAGGGAAAAATGATTCGATCAAAACTTTTAACTTCAAGTTTAAAGTTTTTCCTTAGCTATCGGATAGTGAATTTCCAATGTAGATGCCCACTTTTGACCGCGGCATTGAAACGAGCGTAATATTTTTCGTTCATATATGACCTTGAATCATTCTTACATGCGACCTTGAGTTATCGCTCAAACCAGAAGTATTGACAAATTCGTCTATGCATTTCTTTAGCTTGGCCAATCGACGGAATCATTGATTTATTCAAAAGAACTCTATGATTTCTTAATAACCTGGCAAATATAGAATAAGTCTCTGACATCCAATCTGGACAGGTAATTCTTCCTCACTCGACGACATGATTATAGTAATACCTCTAAATCTTGATCAACAACATTGTACACACTGTGTCAAAAAGATACAGACATGCCGTGACTTGTCTTGCAAGCGCAACTATTAACACCGATATCTAAGTGAATATTTATAATTATGATAAGGCATACGTGAAGAAAAAGCTTAAATGTAGAAGATTTTTCCAGTATTGACTTTTAGGAATAAACTAATTTTTATTGTGCTTGTACGTAAGTATCAACTTATTCTCATAATATTTTGCCTCCAAGGCAAGTCTTTTCTTTATTCAATAGATCCAATGAATCAGAGACTCCACCACAAGCAAGCAAAAACGGAAAAACAAAATTTGAAAAATCTATTCATTTAATTAGAAAATTCAAGTACGACCTTGTCACTTGTTTTGCTCATAAATACTGTAGAAGTTGTCGCCATTTCATTCAGAAACACAAGTAAATAATCTAGGTTAACCTACACACCGTGCGGCGCCTGATTTGGATACTGATGCAATCGTACCACAAAACATGGGGCCTCGTGAGGTACAATGCAGAGTCTGAGCCCACTCCGAGTTTTTCGGGACGTAATATCTCAGTTTTATTAAAGCTTTAGTACATGTCTTACTAGGAAAACTTGTTTATTGTTGTCTGGACTATACGCTCTGTAAAGAAAGGTCGCAACATTATGGACTTTACATAACACTTTCTTCTTTTTAGATGACCAAATAGTCTCCCTGGTAATGTCAGACACCAACACGCTATTCGTATACCACAACACGACTCTAAAGTGGTCCGCCAAGCTTCACTTCTCGCCCATATGCTTGAGAAGAGCTCGGATAAGAAACTTAGAAGGCGTGTTGGTGTTCATCTCAGAGGAAGGGAGATTAGAGGCGTGTTACTTAGGAACAGAGCCAAGTCTATTTGTCGCACCGCCTTTGACTTTGGAGGAAGAGGACTTTGCTAAGTTGGAAGATGAATTGAGGAAGGCGCAACAGATGATGAAGAATTCGTATGGAGATTGTAAGTTATCAGATAAGTTGGGTCTGAAATTCCACCTAATCTTGTGCCGTCAAAAACCGCTGAAAATTACTGGTATAACATAGCACATTGTATGCCACTGTATCGAGAGAGGTGATGTACGATGCATGTATGCTACTCTCTTCCAATCTGGTACCAGACTAGTCCAGAAAGTGTCTCCGCATCTGCTCGGAAAAGTATTACGATCTCACGCCTTCTTTGCTCCTAGGTCTTACAACCTGTTACCCTTTGACGTAAAGATAAATAACAGCATCATCAGGTTTAAAGAAGACGCAAGGAAGTATATCATGGATAAATCCCGAACATACATACACCAGCCATTTGACATAAAAAACTTCTACCTAAAATTACGCTTAGATATACTACATTCTTCTACACTCTACATAGTTCAAATATATCATGATTATATAGCGCGCTCCTTAATAATATGAGAATATTTGAGGGTTTGAACCTACATGAAAAATTAATATTTGTTTGCTTTACAAACTATGGACTAAAGATGTTTCCTTACAAATACTCTGGGTTTGAAGTTTTAGGAAAAAAATGGAAATTATTTAATATTTTCAGAACCGCTCCACATATTTCACCGATATTTAGCACGTAATGGAAGTTAATAAAGTTGCATATTTTTAATGCAAAAATAATTATTAGCTTTAACAGTGGCGTGCGTACGGGTATTGACTTCGCAATTAATTAACAAAAAAATGGTACGCCAGTACGGCAATGTTTTTTTGCCAAATAAAAATTATTTTTGAATTCCCCGTTTAATTTAAAACAAATGATCTCTCTTGAATTGTTTTCCTTCGGTGCGCCATTTTTGAGTAAACAAATAAACACCGTTCTATTGTCTAACTTGCAAAATTATTATTAAATCAATCGGACTAATTAAACACATTAGGGGTAATGAACAAGAACAACTGACAACATAAACATAATATTAAAACCAACAAAATGATTACAAACATTGTTGAAAATGGCCCCCTTCGCTTAGTATGCATGCTTCCGCCCTCCTTCGCATGAAATTGCGCATTCGTTGAAATATCCCTGGAGTGTTTTTCATTCTGTGACAAGTTGCAGCTATTCTTTCTCCTAATTCCTCTACAGTGTTAATGGGACTTGTGTACACTAGTGCCTTAAGATAGCTCCACAAAAAGTAATCTAAACTGTTGAGGTCTCGGGAACTTCTTGGCCATTCTTGGGGCCCACCGCGGCCAATCCAATGATTTGGATAAGCAGTTTTTAAATAATTACGAACCGCTACACTGAAATGCGCTGGTGCACCATCACGCATGTACCACATATTGTTTCTTATTACTAACCGAACATCATCAAGCATCAAAGGCAACTGTTGTTGAAGAAAATTCAGGTAAGTCTGTCCGTCAAGTCGTCCCGGCAAGAAGAATGGGCCAATAAGGTGATTGCCAATAATTCCTGCCCATACGTTAACCGAAAATTCGTGTTGGAAATGGGTTTAGGTTACGGCATAGGGATTTTCTTCTGCCCACAAATGATTAGGGTGGAAATTCTGAATGGCATTTCGAGAAAAATTAGCTTCGTCCGTGAACAGAACCATTGATTCAAATTGCGGATTTTGTGTAATTTTTTGAAGATACCACTGACACAAGGTCACACGCCTTGGAAAATCAATGGGAAGTAATGCCTGTACTCTTAAAATATTGTCAGGATATAACAAAAAGTCCATTAAAATTCTCCAAACAATTTGGTGGCAAATATTCAAGTGTCTAGCGATCTTCCTCGTACTCGTTTCAGGATGTTCTTCGACTTCGTGCAGCACTGCTTCCTCAATTTCAGGTATTCTCACACATAGAGGTCTACCTTCAGATGTTCCCTTTTGGACAGAACCAGTTTCAACAAGACGACAATGAACATTAGAACAGGTTCGACTATCTGGCAAAGCACGATCGGGATATCTCTGGTGATAAACCCGTCTGGCTAGCTCACCATTCCCGTCGGCAAGGCCATAAACGTAATGCATTTCCGCCATTTCTGCATTTGAATAATTCACAACAAGTTTGTAAAAACTAAATAATGTAAAAGATGTCATAGCGAACAGATTTGAATAACAGAGACTTGTCAGATGTCAAAATCCAGTGACATATTCCAGAGCAACTAGATATTTATTGCTAAATTGCATTCGTCAATTATTCCCTTAATTTTCTCGGTTTTTATTTTTTTAGTCAAAAATGGCGCATCGAAGGAAAACAATTCAACAGAAATAATTTGTTTTAAATTGAACGGAGAATTCAAAAATAATTTTGATTTGGCAAAAAACCATTGGCGTACCATTTTTTTCTTAAAAAATATAATAGTCAATACCCGTACGCACGCCACTGTTAAAGCTAAAAATTATTTTTGCATTAAAAATATGCAGCTTTATTAACTTCCACTAGGTACTAAATATGAGTGAAAAATCTGAAGCGGTTCTGACAATATTAATTAATTTCCATTGTTTTCCTAAAACTTCAACACCCCGAGTTTTTCTAAGAAAACATTTTTGGACCATAGTTTATAAAGCAAACTAACATTAATTTTTCATTTAGATTCACACCGTTGAATATTCGCATATCATTAAGGAACACTCTGTATATTAGTCAGTTTTTATAAACTTGATTTCTAAGTGTAGTGTTAAATGCTGAATTAGCGTTTGAGTATTATTATGAACAAAGGAATGCCGTGTCGTCCCTCTTTGTATAATTGTTTACTTTTAATGTTTTTTTCTTCGTATTTTGAAGTTAAAGTACCAGAATTTAAATGCTTTGATGTGTACGACATTATGTTACTAATGTCAACTTTCCTGGCGCAAAAGTACCACGTGAATCATGAGGCGACCGCTAAGCACTTTTCTGTAGCATTAACCTATTATTTTCAAAATATTGTTTTATAGGCGTTTATTCGCACGCCAAGGACTTGCAATATTTATTCAGATTGTCTATTTGTTCCGCGTGGGCGCTCGCTTGACTAAAAATTCAAAAGCAAAGGTCAACAATAGCAAAAGTATCTAAAATTTTGTAGGACTTTGCTACTGAATGATGAATATTGGTGGCAATATTAAAGCTTTAGTTCTTTCTTATTGTTATTCTAGATTGGAAAAGGTATATTTTGCACTTTTCAAATATTTAATAAACAAAAATACACGTTGAGCGGGCGCGTAATTAACAATTGAAAAACAAATGTTTACAATAACAATACCGCCTGATATGCTTTGATATTTTATTAATGAATGTTTGAGGATTAATTGGGGAGCTTTGGCAACGTCACCGGCGTAGAGGTAATGTAAACGCGAAACATTTCGATAGTATGTTTTTGTATATTATATGATTGATATCTACATGACAAAAAACTACGTCACTCATTACCGTCGGTCTCTTTGAAAAATCACTCGAACTTTGTTTTTTGATGTTTTAGATTAGAGTCTCCTGATCATTTTCCGAAAACTTTCTGTAGGGGTTAAACATTGATGTTGGTGGTTGTAGTCGGTCTGGAAGGGTATATCCCGTTTGGTTTACCGTGATATATTAACTTTACTAACTAACCTTAGTGAGTCTACGTGCCTGTTTCCCCTTAATAACGGGTGATTTTTTAAGTGGTATAGGATTTGATTTTCAAAATAAAAACACAAAAAATTTGAAAAAACTATTAAATCTTTATTTGAATCGATAGATAGGTCGATATAATTTAATGTTTAAAGATTATGTCATGTAAATGTCGGCCGCGGCTCCGCTTTAGATGGCCCATGCGCAAGGTCCAATTTTGGCACACTCTCTCCAACATATCGGCCGGTGTCTCACGAATAAATGCTTCAATCGTTGCCTTAACAGGGCCCCACAAGAAATAGTCCAACGGCGTTAAATCACACGATCTAGGCGGCCAATTGACGGGCCCCAAACGTGAGATAAACTGTTCACCGAACTCGCCTCTCAATAGGGCCATTGTTTCGTGTGCGATGTGGCATGTGGCACCGTCTTGTTGAAACCACATGTCAGCCAAGTCCAGCTCTTCCATTTTTGGCAAAAAAAAGTTTGTTATCATCGCACGGTAGCACTCGCCATTCACAGTTACGTTCCGGCCATTGTCGTCTTTGAAGAAGTACGGCCCGATGATGCCACCGGCCCATAATCCACACCAAACAGTGATTTTTTCGGGATGCATTGGTAGCTCTTGCAATGCTCCTGGCTGGTCTTCACTCCAGATGCGGCAATTTTGCTTGTTAACGTACCCATTCAACAAGAAATGAGCTTCGTCGCTGAACACAATTTTTCGATAAAAATGTGGATCGACTTTGCTAGCGCCCATTCACCAAACTGGAAACGTTGTGGGAGGTCGTGTGGCTTCAATTCTTGCACCAGCTGTATCTTACAAGGTTTTACACCCAAATACTGTCGCAAAATTTTCCGCGTAGTGGAGTAGCAGAGGCCCAATTGCTGCGAACGGCGGCGAATCGACATTTCACGGTCATCACTAACACTGGCGGATACAGCCGCAATATTTTCTTCAGTCCTCACTCTACGTCTGCGTGTTGGTGGTTTAATGTCCAATAATGTAAACTGGGTTCGAAATTTAGTCGCAAGCTTCCGAATAGCTCCCTCAGTAGGCCGACCAAATTGCCCATAAATTGGAAGCAGTGCCCGATGCACTCTCCTAACCGAGCATGAATTTTGATAGTAAAATTCAATATTTTGCAAGCGTTGTTCGTTCGTAAGTCGATTCATGGTCAAATTATAGACCAAACTGAACAAGTTTGACAATGACACAAGACACGATTCATGCGTCATCTGTCAAAAACAGTGTTGCCAAAAAGATACTAGCAAAAAAATCACCCATTATATGTCTTTATTGTAAGGGTATTTTATATACAGGATGCACCAGCAAAAACCAAAAAGGAATAGCAGTGCTGATGTTTGGTGGCCATGTTTGCGGTTGTAGTACAGCAGGACTGTGGCTAAGGCCTGTCAAAATAATTAGCACACTGATAAAAAATGCAAAGACTGATTGGGTACTTTTTATTATACAGAGTGTTCATTTGAAAACTTCCCGCCACGGATTTATCGAAAACCACTGAAAAAACGCCGACACACGTCAAAATATTTATCAAGCGAGACACCTTTTTAACCAAAAACTACTCCCTCAGCTCCTCAGGGTCAATCCCTTAAAAATTTAAGTGACAAGGGGTATCGAGTAACAGCTTGTTTGAAAGGTCTTACAATGTCCTTTATTTTGACGTTTGATTTTTTAAAATCAATCGATTGGTTTTCGAAAAAATAAGAAAAATATTTATCTTAATTTGTTCAGATAGAAAACAAAAACACACAAAGATATCACTTTTTAATCAATAAGTGTTCAAAATGTTGCCCTTTAGGGTTTGCTAAATCTATAATTCGTTGTAAACAGCAAATCTTAAGATTAGACGGGGCATTAGCCAAATAACAACCCGAATTTTTTTCCACATTCTTCTCATCAACACAGATATGTATTTATTGTTATAGTTATTTGTTGCTAAGGGAAAGAAAGAATTTAGTTTGCTGTCAGTTACCTTTGCGACAATCTTGGGATAGCGAAAGTTAATTAATTGATTCAGATTTTGCTTCCAAAATGGTTTATATACTAGCCGAAAGAGTATAGAGGATTCTAATTTATGGTGCCCAAAATCAATGTGCTTGACAAACTGCCGGCAGTTGAAGTTTTGGGTCATTTTGGAATAAATCCTAATACTTTATTACGCAAAATTGTTGCTGCGACTGGTATTTCATTAGGCTCTGTACAAACAGTTACTAAACTTTATAATATCCACTCATATCCACTCAAAATGAAAATATTGCAAGAGTCAACCTAAGATGATTTCGATGGGAGAGTTGAGTTTTGTGAACAATGATTGCAGCGATTAATGATAATACAGGGTGGTCCATAAGTCCTTTGAAATTTCAAATTTGAATAAAATTTAACGGGTGAGCGTGAGCGGCGCGGGCGAGGTGGGGGCAGTATCTTCAATGTCTGGGAATTCAGTCGCCATGGAGTGTTTCACTGGAGCGGATCGTGCTTTTTGTGTGCGCGCGTTTTATCAAAATAATGATTCGGCAACCATTGCGCGGCGTAAATATCGAGAATACCACAATTTACACAATTTTACAAAGTATCCAACAGCTCAAACGATTAAGAACTGGGTTGCTAAGTTCGAAGAGACTGGTTCGACGTTAGATAAACAGCGGTGGGGTCGACCAAGGACAACTCGTATTGAAGAAAACATCAACATTGTGGCACAGTCTGTTCGTCAAAATCCTACCCAGTCTACTCGTAAGCGTTCCAGTGCACTAAACGTACCCAGAACATCTTTACAGCGGATTTTAAGGAAAGATTTACGTCTGCACGCTTACAAAATTCAGTTAGTGCAGGAATTAAAAGATAATGACGCTATTCAGAGACTAAACTTTGCGAATGAAATGTTGAATCGAATTTCTTCGCTCAATAATGTGTTGTTCTCGGACGAGGCTCACTTCCATTTAAACGGGCATGTAAATAAACAAAATTGCCGTTATTGGAGCCCCGAAAATCCAAGGCGTAAGCATCAGAAGCCCTTACACAGCCCTAAAGTTACAGTTTGGGCTGCTATGTCAGCGCATGGCATCGTAGGCCCTTATTTTTTTGAGGACGACAGAGGTCGCGCATTAACTGTTACTTCGGAGCGGTATGTAGCAATGATAGAAGAGTTTTTGACACCAGCGTTGCAGAATTTTCCAGGCTATAATACGCAGACCTGGTTTCAACAGGACGGAGCAACTGCCCACACCTCCAACACTTCTATGCCCGTCGTCTGTCAACTTTTTCCCAGCAAAGTAATTTCTCGAAGAGGAGACATTTCCTGGCCACCACGTAGTCCAGATTTGACCCCAATGGACTTCTTTTTTTGGGGCTACCTCAAGAGTAAAGTGTACGACACCACTCCGCGATCAGTTGATGTCCTGAAAGAAAATATCCGAAGAGAAATGGCAAGCATTACAGTGTTGACTTGCCGCGCAGTCATCGACAATTTTAGACGTCGTTTATATGAGTGCCGTGATCGTAATGGATTGCATTTAGACGACGTGATTTTTAAAACATAATTCCCATTCAATAAAGATGATAACAAAATATAATAATTCTTCATAATGTAACTAGTTTGGTTTTATTCTTTTTTTTCCAGCTCAAAGGACTTATGGGCCACCCTGTACTATTCATGTAAAGAATATCTGCTTCAGTGATGAATGCACATTTTAACTAACTGGATTTGTTAATAAGCATAACTGCAGTTATTAAAGCAATGAAAATCCTCATGCTTTTGTAGAAGGGCCCCCAGTGCCCCCAAGAAACTAATGTATGGGCAAGCATTTTAGGAAACAAAGTGATTGGGCCATTGCAATGACTAGACGACGAGTTTCCAGATAAATTGATATGGCGAAGGGGGCCTATAGAATGGCCCGCTAGATCTCCTGATTTACCGCCATTAACCTTTTTCCTATGAGCCCATTTAAAATCTATTGTATTTACTCTCCAACCTGAAAGTTTCGATGAGTTTCTGCAACGCATCATCGAAAACTGCCATGATATCCCACAAAATGTTTTTGAAAATGTCCGTCAGGAATTTGAACACCATCTACTATATATTATTGTTTGGCCAATAACGGGCAACATTTTGAAAACTTATTGAAATAAAAAGTGATATTTTCGTGTGTTTTTGTTTTCTATCTGAGCAAATTAAGATAAATAAAGATTTTTCTAATGTTCTTAAAAGAAATCGACTGTTTTAAAAAAATCGAACGCCAAAATAAAGGACTTTGAAAGACCTTTTAAACAAGCTATTACTCGATACCGCTTGTTATTTAAAATTGTTATGGGGATGACCCTGAGGGGTAGAGGGTGAAAGAGGGTGAAGTAGTCTTTGGTTAAAAAGTTGTCCTCCTTGACAAATCTTTTGACGTGTCTGTATGTTTGAGCAAGCCGCTGCCGGGCGAACAACGCGATGTATTTGTTACCCGACCAGCGATGCGATGTAATAATTTTGACTACTAAGTCAATATATTATTGAATATAAACGATCAGATACGGTGACAACATTAGAACTATACTTATTCAGGTGTGTATTTTAGTACATTTTTGTCAAGCAAAGAATGCGTAAGAATGTTTTCCTTAATTATTAAAAAAAATCAAACTGATAATATTTTTTCTTCAATTATTATATTCATTTTATAACAAGCTGTAAGGGTAAGTAGTAAGCAGGCCGGCAGTAAAGAGACCAGAGCATATGAATGTTCATACAGGGTGTTTCACAACTTATCCGACAAATTTTAACCACATATGCACTGTTACGAACGAAGTTGATTTCTCAAAAAAAAATATAATAAAAGTCATACAGAAATCGAGATATTAAAATAATACAGTTTAAGAGTTCATTTACTTATAAAAGCATCCGATCAGGTAATGTGAACAGTCCAATTAGACGTTAATCGACAATACCTGCCCACACGATTAAAAAAAACGATGCTGGAAGTGTCTGGACCACTGGGTGAGGATTCTCTAAGGATCAAACGTATATATTCTGAAGATTGGTTATCCCATTTCGAGTAAAAATAACTTAATCGGTGGCCAAAATATGACATGTGACACTTCTGGGACATGTTGGGCTAACTGCCTTGTGCTTATTCCCGGATTTTCTTCAACAATATCCAAAATTTCGTCTTCGGCATTTAAAACGCGTTGTGGACGAGCCCGTCGGAAGCGCAAATCTCCACAAGCACGTGCACGTTAAACAATTGAACTATGTAGATGTTTCGTGATGTGGTATGTGTGTATTTGGAAATCGATGTGCAAACAAACTGCCGCTCGCCAATTTTGCCCAGCTTTTCCGCTAAAACAATGTCCATTAACTAGTGTACACATGTGCCATTTTTATTAATAAATAACTAGAAACATAAACTCGCAAAATACTGTCATATTTAACTTCACAAAAATCGACTGATCTTCATTCTGATCACCCACGATACAGATTAAACCTTATTTACACGTTCTTATCAGCATTAAAAAACAAAAAAGTCCTGGTATTTTGTTTTCGTCAGTTGTTTGGTTCAACGTTTGCTACAATAAATTATTAATGCGTGTTCTAATATCACGACGATGGAAGCAAAATACATATATTTATGTTTCAATTTATTATTGAAACTTAGGTTTATAACTTAATTTCTGTAGGACGTTCATTACATTTTTTTGAGAAAGCAACTTCTTTCGTAACAGCGCATATGTAGTTACAATTTGTCGGATAAGTTGTGAAACACCGTAAATAGATACTATACCAAATCACTGCTTTTCGTTAAAGATATATGTTAGGGTACATGGATTTTCAGCGCCGACAAATAATAAGCATACCAGAGCAACAGAACAAAAGTTGACTCTGATACACGACGCATATACAAAGTCCATTTGTTCAGAATTGCGTGGGAAGTGCAGAGTCAACCTACCTGAAGCAGTGTTTCATACTGTTGTCGCTTGAACCTCAGAAGCTGTCATCTTCACAGAAAAGTTCATAAAAACCTTTTAGTTTAGAAGGATCCAAAACATCAGATCAGAAAGAAGTTGTTAAAGTAACGATTTAAGCAATTTCTGGCACAATTTTGGGGCTGGCAATATGCAGATTTGTTGAGGGGTACTATTTATTTATTATAGGTCTCAAAATATCTAACGCGAATGTCGACAAAGAACTAGGTGTTGATATAAAGGTGGCATCGGAATTGAAACCATGCTCTTTCCAAACCTTGTTAAATATTACGGACGATCTTCAGATGTGTGAAGTCACCGCAGATGTCTCACCTCAAATACCCTTTGAGGAAGTTCAAATCACAACAGTGGTAAGTACAATCGGCACACCTATTATGTAAAAAAATAATTCGTGCTACGTGTTAGCAATCAGCGATTTCCACGAGCTATACCTACCTACAAGCTGTCCTTGACGACAGAGGCATTTCTTGTTTTTCAACTCCAAAACATACCCTACGACACTGAGTCAAAGTATAATGTTGTTTAATTGCAAGTGTTACTGTCATCTGAATTGTAGCTTTAAACCAATATTGCCATTTCAGGTACACACCCCGTTTACAGTTGACAACCCAGTAACATTCCTCACCAATATTAACGAAAAGTCAACTACTCAATGCAAAATTTATCTCAATGCCGACTATGAAGTGCCAAGTTTGGGTTTCACGACAGTGGTAACAACTGTCTCAAGCGTTGGGATACCAAGGGCTTTCGTTAAGTCCCACGTACTGCCTGTTAAATTGGTCTGTAAGTTAGATGAGGCGCAAAAAGAGGCTGAACATAAGCTTACACTTAGTGTCAATCAGGATGTTGTTCCATTGTCGGCACTGTTTCAAGGTAAGACATTATCTGTACGATACAGTCATGTCATATATTCCATATCATCTTGGCTTCAACCATCGAATTCAGTCTAGGTAGAAAGAGCCAGTCAATGGTTTGGTTGTCTCCGAATTCTCTTTCTGCAGTGAGGATCAAAGTGTCTAAGTCATAAGTTTTACAGTTCTGTGGTTAAATTCCTGATTTTAGAATTATTTTTTAAAAATGCACCTCTTACATAATTTGCAAAGAACGGCACAAACCTAATCAAGCTAGATGTTTCCACCAGCAAGTGTTTTTATTATAAGCCAAAAGTATGCACTAAAACTAAGCAATTTTGGCGACAAACAATGCAATATGATTATACAGGGTGTCTCAGTTTATTGTTGCAGAACTTTAAGATTCGATAGAACTTTTAAAATTAATGCATAAAGTCTATATAAACATGGGTCGAAAAATGCGTGGCTTCCGAAATACAGGGTGTAAATTTACTTTCTAAAATAGTTTTTTTTAAATATTTCGAACAATATTTGATGTATAACAGTGAAAATTGGTATACAGGGATTTTTTGGTACGACAAAACGAACCATAGTTTTAGTATAGCTGCTAGAGGGCGCTCTCTACTGTACCTATAGTGTATTAAAATGACCGAAAAATTTTTCTTAGTGCAATTTTTTGCTTTTTGATTCTTGATTGATTCTTCGCACTTTTCAACATAAAAAAGCTCTCTTGTGAATTTTCGTTATAGTTAGCCGTTTTTGAGATATTTCGATTTTTAAGGTTCGATGCATTTTTAATTATTTATGATAACATAACGTTAAAGTCAGTATCTCGATAATTTTTAGAAGTAGGCCGTGCCTGCAAGTATTTTTGATATTGAAAGCAGAATAAGGTTAAATGTCAATTAGTTGACAGTTAGTTTTGTTGTCTGTTGAAACCTGAAACGTCTTTTTGCAATTGTGAATGCACGAAATTTAGTTTCCTTTACCTGTTTTTATTTTGTAAGTTTTATAAAAATGCCATTTTTATTCTCCAATCAAGAGTTAGCGGATATTTATTTTGTGTATGGCTTTGTAAATGGAAACGCAGCAGAAGCAGCCAGACAATACACACGAAGATTTCCAAACCGACGACATCCAACTCGCTCAGTATTTGTAAGAGTGCATTGCCAAATAATTGGAAATGGTTTTGGAAATCTCCAAAGGGATCAAAACATAAATGTTCGTCAGCGCAGATTTACCTGTTTGATTCTGCGTGAGTTTGATAGAGATCCGACCACAAGTGTTAGGAGTCTTCTGGTGTCTTGGGAATTTCAGCAAGCCATGCTCACCGTGTTCTTAGAAATGACCATAGACGTCCTTACCATTTGCAACCTGTGCAAGGACTACAGCCAGGGGACGGAGAACGAAGAATCACATTTTGTCAGTGGATTCTTGATAGAACTGATAATAATAGGGAGTTTTTAAGTAACGTTTTATGGACCGATGAGTTATGCTTCACTAGACGTGGAGTGGTAAATTTTCATAATCAACATATGTGGTCGCACGAAAATCCGCATGCAGTTCGGGAAAGAAATTTTCAGCATGAATTTAGTGTGAACGTGTGGATTGGTATCTACCGTAATCGACTATTTGGACCCTACCAGTCGCCTGGCCTCCACGATCCTCTGACCTAAATCCATTAGATTTCTTTGTGTGGGCATTTCTAAAAGAAAAAGTGTACCAGACTCCCGTAACCACAAGAGATATGCTAATAGACAGAATCAGGAATGCATGTGATGAAATAAGGCCTTATTTGAATAGTGCTATACCACGTTCGATCATTCTTAGATGTGAATTGTGTATTGAACAATTGGGTTTACATTTCGAGCAACTAATTTAGATTTTGTATGTTTGTCCTAACTATCCAATAGCATTTTAGTTGTAAATAATTAATTTAATTTGTTAAAAATAATATTGGAAAATTAAACAAATTAATATTCTGTTTTTTGTGTTTATTTGGAGTTAGGAATTATTGCTGTGTTTAAAAACACAATCTAAACGATCATCTTAATTACTTGTAATGCCCAAATCGAAAATGTAAAAAAAATATTATTTTCCCATAAATAATTAAAAATGCATCGAACCTTAAAAATCGAAATATCTCAAAAACGGCTAACTATAACGAAAACTCACAGGAAAGCTTTTTTATGTTGAAAAGTGCGAAGAATCAGTTTTTTATTCAAAAAACAAAAAATTGCACTAAGAAAAATTTTTCGGTCATTTTAATACACTACAGGTACAGTAAAGAGCGCCCTCTAGCGGCTACAGTAAAACTATGCCCATGGTTCGTTTTGTCGCACCAAAAAAACCCTTGTATACCAATTTTCACTATTATACATCAAATGTTGTTCGAAATATTTAAAAAAAACTATTTTAGAAAGTAAATTTAAACACCCTGTATTTCGGAAGCCACGCATTTTTCGACCCATGTCTATATAGACTTTATGCATTAATTTTAACAGTTCTATCGAATCTTAAAGTTATGCAACAATAAACTGAAACACGCTGTATATAGGCTTGGCTCTTTATATTCAAATTATTTGGCTTCAATACTGCTTTTGTTAAATACCAACGACCTCTTCCTCCGTACAATCAATTCGATCCACAGCTGGGCTGATGACAGCACTTTACATACATGCTTCTAGAGTAGCATGCTGATCCATGCTGATAAACTGGAAAGGTAAAGGCTAGTAGCGACTGACAAGAAGCAGCCATTCGTCTTGGTTGCCCGGAGTCCAGATTACTGAAAACTTTCACACGTCGTCAATTGGGACAGCTGCTTGGAAATAGTTTGGTCATTTCTTTTGGGTATGCTCGATTCGCTCAGGGATGGGGGGCGACGGCTGGAACCGTCCATGGAGGAAGGGGACTTTATTAATATCTTAAAAAACACTTACTCGATTCTGTTGAAATTTGGCAATATTATTTGCTATATTAAAAGGCCAATTTAGCTCTTAATAAATTAAAAGTATTAGGTCAAATGGCGTCCAGGGGGCACACAGCGAATATTATTCGCAAAAAATGTACGCCACTGCCCTTTTTAACTTTAATATTTGTTGTATGATTGTTGTATTGTTGTATTTTTTCGCATCTCACTTCATTTTCGAGAAAAAAATAGAAATCGTGTTATTGCGCGTCACTGGACAAAATTGGTTTATTGATTTTGGCTAAAAAAATATCTCCGTGTATTTTTCGAACACTCTGTATAAGGCAGTGTATTAGGCCGTGGAGTCCTTGGGGGGGAAGAATTACCTGTTTATGCTTCTCTCAGAAAGAAAACCGTTTGAGAAGATATTTAACTGTTTATCTACTTACTTTTACATCTTGTTTATGTTTGTTATTACGTTTGCACATAATACAAACGTAAGATCCAGAGGTCTGCTAAAACCTCCTCAGTTCTGCACTGAACTCGTGTTTTCAGTTTCCAAATATGCAAAATGTATAACGGTCTGCCATCAGATTATAAAAAACAAACATTTTCTAGGTTCAAATCTGAAGTCAAAAACATGTTGTTTGATCAGCTATCAACATAAAAATTGTTGTCGATTTCTTTACAACAATAAATTCAGGAAATTCAGGAAAAAACTGGGCAGATGCAGCTTGTTCTAATTTTGGATCAGTTTTTCTTTTGGGACTCTAGTTACTTTTGGCTCTTTTTCCTGGGTACAACCTTCGTTATTTGACGCGCTCGCGTTTTGTGATTTGAGATTATAATTATAATCCTTACAGTTTGGCTTGGCACTTTGGTTTTCATTTAGGATTTAAAACTTCAACACAAGTTATGTTGTGGTATCTTTTTCCCTGAGGTTGGTATCATAGGAAGTTACTAATTATATGTGTTGGTGTTGAATAAATTTAGTATTGTATTTCACTACCCCGAAGGAACTCATCAATTTTTCTTACAATTATTAATGCACTCATTAATGCACTTATCTAAAGCCGCTATAAGTCTTCAAAAAGTCAATGTGACCAAAAAATGCTCAGTCTTCCACAACAAGTGATGAACAACAAATTGATCCTAAAAGAAATAGCTATCTAACAATGCCGCATCCACCTCTCGTCAAGTAACAACACACGTGCTTAAACGTCATTTTGTTTCTTTAATCTGGATTGGCTAGCCTACCTCTCTCTAATTTTATTTGCCTCGTCTCCTTCGGACATCTCCTCTTTGATTGAGCTACAAAACGTGCCAGCTCAGGAAATGTTGGGACACATCAGTAACAAAAATAATGTCAGCGTATTTAAACGATTTTCTGATCTACAAAATTTCGTTTATATATACTAAGTGATATATAAATCCGAACTCCCAGTTTAAATGGTTTTATTTTAATAAAATTTCGTATAAGTACTTAATGAAGCATAATAAGTAAATGATAAAAATTTCAAAATGATTGCACTGATTTAAAGCCCTTTGACCTTTAATAATGTGTGGATGCACCCTGAAGTGCTTCTAGAGTCTGAGGAGGACGTTGCAAATTGAGCAATCTCCTACCCATCATATCCCACACATGCTCAATTGGGGATAAGTCGGGAGATCTTGGTGGCCATGGTAACAATGTGACATCATTATGTTGAAAGAAGTTTATTGTGACTCTTGCAACATGTGGTCGGGCATTATCTTGTTGGAAAGTTGGATCTGCCAGGGTGTCAGGATAGGGTAGAAGATGGGGTTCTAGAACTTCGTGGATATAACGCTGCGCATTCATGTTACCTCTGATGAAGATTAAAGGTGACCTGGAACCATAAGCTATAGCACCCCAAACCATAACTCCAACAGTGTGATGAACATGTCTTTCAACAAAAAACTGTGGATTCCTCCTTTCACCACGTCGCCTTCTAACCCTGGCACGACCATCGTGCATGTCTAAACAAAATCGAGACTCGTCACTAAAGACAATACTGTTCCATTCCTGATCCCAGAGTGACCGTTGTCTGCACCACTCAAGGCGATTACGTCGGTGTTCTCGAGTTAAAGGGAGGACCCAGTGTGGCCGGCATGAAAACAAGCCAAAACTTCTCATTCGTCGGTAAACACTTCGCATGCCAATAGGTCTTCCGTGTTCTGCAAACCATTCATTTGCAATGGACCTGGTAGTGGAGAAACGGTCCCTTAAGGCCAATAATCTTAGGCGGCGATCTTCACGGTCTGTTGTTCTACGGCGGCGTCCAGTGCCCCTTGCTCTTTGCGTACGGCCTTCTCGAAGCCATGCCTGACAACACCTAACCACAGTGTCTACACTTCTTTGCACTCTAACTTCAATTGCCCGAAAAGAAAGTCCAGCTTCCCGAAGTCCCACTATACGGCCCCTATCAAACTCACTAAGTTGACGAAGTCGTACAGGTCTCCGTACTCTAGGCATCGTAACCGATCTTAAAGGATGTCAGGAACCGAAATCCGCCAACGTTGATTCTTTACTGCGGCTGAAATATTCATTTTTAGAGCGTTAGTGAATTAAAAAAAAAAGCAGTATAAAAACCGGAATGTCCAACTGATAAGGCTGAAAATTTTTTCACTTGTTATTTACAGTAAGATAAATACATTCACCAACTTTTATTAAAATAAAACCATTTAAACTAGGTGTTCGGATTTATATGTCACTTAGTATATGTTGGAGAGAACTTTTCTAAGGTAATTGCTTATGCACCCTTCTGGTGTGGTTCGGCTACTCGGAATTCGATTTTAAATTCCGATCAGATAACCTACCTTCGAATTTTACGTTTCACTACCTCATAGGGGGTTAGGAACGCAAATTGAAATCCTTGAATAACTGTGTTACAGATAAAACGGATTTTTCCGCTTTGAAGTTATTTATTGCTTGAATTTTTAGCTTCATTCGTACGAAGTGTCCAGCTATAAATTCACACCGCTCTCATCCTTTTGCATGACCTTTTAAAAAAAAGCTACTCACATATGCAACTTTTGTTCATATACTCAGAGAAGTGCTATCAAATGTACTTGTGGTTTTTAACACGCTTTTATTAGCTTGCCCTGTATGTATGTATGTATGTATCGGAATCTTTGAGCATAATTTTTACTAATTTCCAGAAGTTTGACTAATTTATAACTTCGCACAAGTATAAAGGCCCGATGACAATGCAATAATTCGAACAGTTTTCCATTATCCTCATTAGGATCGCCAGGATTGATAAATTCTAGAGAGATAGAGCTAGAGCGCGATCTGCGCATGCGTGCAGTTTCGAACTCAATCTTTATTGATTCGGGCACTTGGCACAGCACAGTGGAGGCAGATACTTTTTCACGGTAGTGCATTCTCACCTTGTTCATTGCGAATGTTGCCATTAACCCTGAGTTCGGCATCGACCGTCCACAAGATGCAAGATTGTACAGGTTGTACAAATTTAGGTTTTACACGAAGCTAATGAAAATTGTTATGGAAAGCCATATTACTAAGAATCACAAAAAGCGACTAATATTATCACAATTAAACACGGTATTCCATTTAAAAAGACACAACTTTATTCGATAGCAGTTTCTGAGACACCCTTATATAAAAAAGAGTTTAGGAGAAGGTAGGGTGACTTGAACATTGTTGAGGTTGTAATATAGGGATAGGCATCATTTTGTTAGAAGATAGCAATTACAAGCGTCTAATGATATGGCAAAAATGAGGTTCCAATATTTCCTGGATACGAGGGATGTCCTTTAAGTTTTGCATATAGAAAAATGGTAGGCCGCGCGGATCGAACGTCAGAACTGAATCATAACCTCACTCTTTAGTAAACTTAAATTTAAAGTTTCACAACAATACGTGCAGTGTTCTCACTACAGTGAATTTTTAAGTGTCACCAAGTCATTAGAAAAATGGAACTCAACCGAAAACATTTTCGCGCCATAATTTATTACAACTTTCAGAGACAATTATCGCAACAAGAATGCCTTGCTGAGTTACTGTCTGTTTTCGGCAACGAAGCGCCACATCAGTCGACAATTTCACCCAGGAAAACGTCGATGCTGTGCGCAAACTCATCATTGAAGATAGACATGTGACATATCGCGAGATTGAGGCGTCCTTGCAGATCTCAAAGACCTCAATTCAAAAAATTTTACATGAAGAATTAGGAGTAAGAAAATTAGTTTCTCGTTGGATACCCCACCTGTTGACTGAAGAGCAGAAAGCAGCCAGGGTTAATTGGTGTCAAAAAACGCTGGACCGTTTCAAATCCGGGAACTCAAAAAATTTGTACAGGATTGTTAGTGGTGATGAATCGTGGATTTACTGTTATGAACCAGAAACTAAACGACAGTCGGCTGTTTGGGTGTTCCAAGGTGAAGAAAAGCCAACAAAAGTCATCCGTTCTCGAAGTGTTTCGAAAAAGGTGGTCGCGACATGTGTGTCAAAAGCGGGTCATATTGCAACAATTCCTCTTAATGAGCAAAGAACTGTTACTGCGGATTGGTATACCACTATTTGTTTGCCAAAAGTCATCACCGAGCTTCGAAAAATCAACCCCTAAAGAAGAAACTTTCCCGAAAATTAAAAACAGACTGCGTGGTCAAAGGTTCCAGTCACCAGAAAAAGCAGTTGACGCATTCAAAAATGCCGTTTTGGATCTCCAGCAAACGAGTGGAATAAGTGCTTTGAAAATTGGTTCGAGGGCATGCAGATGTGTATTAATCTTCATGGAGAATACTTCGAAAAACAATAAAGTTATTTAAAACTACCTACCGTGTTGTTTTATTTCCATATACAAAACTTAAAAGACATCCACGTATACCGTTGCACCCACTGTAAACTAGAATCTATTAAGCACTGCATCCAACAGACAGCAATCCGCTAAACAATCAACGTTTCAATATTTTTCAGTAACGAAATGTTTATCAATTGTGGCATCCTACAGGGATCCGTTTTAAATCTAGGTACTGCTTTTCAATATATATTTAGTGATGTATTTCAAATTGACTATGTGGGCAAAGTAGTGACTTTCACACAACAACCATGGTTGAAAATGAGTCAAAATTATCAAGTAGCTTAACAAGAGAATCAGTTACTCTGGAACATACGCTTTTCCATTTTCTTCCTATTCTAGACATCTACCAAATTACACAAACATCTCCTTTATCGTACATAATCAAAAATTAGAAATTAATAAAGCATAAGATATAAAATACCTTGGAATGTTCCTAGATCCACACGTGCGTTGGGATGTTGGGTTGGATCTAAATACCTACATCAAAAACATTTCATAAGAAAAGAAAAGATGTCTCTATACTTCAAACCATACCTTGACCGAGCCACATTTAGCCTAAGGAATATTAACACACTCAACTCATATTTATGATTTGAATCATTTTGAAAAGATAATTCTAGAAACACTATAATAAACCAACATTATACCCAACTGAACTTATACAACGATATAAATCAATAATGACTTGAAAAGGGAGGAAGTCATACCTATACCGAATGAATCTATAAAACAACGATCATACCTTTAATTAGGACTAAAATTATACGTAAATATACCTGACGATATAAGGGCCTACGCTCTTGGAATAATGTTAACAACAAAATTAAAACATTATCTTTTTTCTCTGGCAAAACCAGACATACACAAATGAATAGTAAATGCAACCTATAAATTTCAATACTACGCACAATTGCAGCATTAATGTTTAATGTCCAGCCTATGCTTCAAATGGACTCTTTTTTCATGTCTATTTTCTCATTTTGTATATTAGGAGTGAATAAATATCATGATTATATTCAATGGTGCCTACATTACGTTTATCCGCAACGCCTTCTATGTTATCCTAGTAGGCATCCCATTTTTTTTTTGTTTCAGTTCTATTTAAGGGATTGCATGATAAACAGGCACGAGTTAGGAGCTGTCGCGTAGAAAGACATACTGTAAAGCTTTCAGGTTTAACGTCACTTGTACCAACCTGTAGGAGTCTTGGTTTGAAGCGTTATTACACTTGGTGCTATGTCGCCTTTACCTTCCATCAGAGGAGGCACGATGGCGCAACGGTATATCCAGGAAGTACTATAACCTCATTACCATTTCTCCAAATGCTTGAGAACCCAGCAAGATAATGGCCGCAGCCATATTGCAATAATGGCCAATTTAATCACGACTTCGTCTTGCTTGAGTCTGACTGTATACCCGAGATTCTCAAACGTATTCAGACTACTGTACACTTTGGGAATCAAGTACTTTCTAGCGCACCTGAAATGGTTCATGAGGATGTCCGTCTCTAGAAGGGGTATTTGTTATGAAGATTAAGGCTTAAGTGCTTCTGAGAACGAATGCCCTTATCGTAATTTAAGAACTCGGAAAGGGGGATCGTCTGCATCAGTGCTTCTGGAAGCAATCCGTAGGCTCCCGGCACCTACAAGGGGGCGTTGTCGCCCACTTTGAGAACTATTCAATTTTATTTAAATAAAATTATTCTTACAGAATGTTCTGTTTTTTTTTTCGTCACTGAACATATTCCATAGTTTTCACTTCGGAACAGAGAAAATGTTACCGGCTACAGAAATGAAGCTACAGATTAAAGTGATAAAACATCTTCACATTAACTAAAAATAATATTGTCAGAGCTAGTCCGAAATGTTCATCTATTCCATTCGATTGGAAATCCAATTATACTGAATGCAATCTACACTAATTAGCAATTAATTATTTCCAGATCTCATCAACAGCGAAAAGCCTCCCAACACGTTAGGCATAAAACCACTGACACCTAAAAGCAAAACAGTGACTATAGTTCCTGCCAAATCAACTCAACGATACAGGCTGCAGGCAGACTCTTTTGCATCTATAAGTTTTGTATTGGAACAGATGATATACAGATTGCAAGCCTACTACAAAAATAAGGATTTGGAGATCAGCTACGGTGTTTCGTATCCAATAAATGAGCTATTTAGTCATGTACAGGAGCACTTTGAAATGCAGAAGGAGGTTTCGACGTTGAAGGTAAATTTAATTTCCAAACTGAATACCAGTAGCTTGCAGCAAAGCTAAAACGGATATAAAAAATGCCGTCAAGGGAACTGACCTCCGCTTCTCATGTAACGCTGTCATCAGTTCGTACAGGATTATGTTCGACCCAAGTTAGCCTCTCTAAGAAACATTTTTAGTCAATTAAATAGGCATATACAATTAGTTCGTAGTAACCCTGTAATGCTTCCTCTCGGCAAAAAGTCCAGAAAAGATGGAATGCAATGAAGATTCCAACTTTTCTGCACAATCACAGAAAGGGGGTTACCATTAGCTTCCGGTAGCTCAGTCGGTGGCATGATGACATCTACAGGCGTGTAGCTGTGTGTCGACCATGGCATGGCTAGAGGATAGAAGAACAAACAGAACACAAAAATTTAACAGATTTTATTTAATTAGAAAAGCATTTTCATTACATTTGAAATTGAAATTTTAAAGAACAAAATGAAAGTTTTAAATCTTTGGCGCTGTTACAAAATAATCAACTTATCTTTCGCTAAGCTGGTCCATTTTGATTGGACTGAAGCGAGGATGGCCAGGTGCTTCAAGTGGAGGTCCCAGTTATGAGGGGTGACCTCATATTTAGTGGCTTCAAAACTAGATGTAGGCGAAGGATGCAGTGAAGTTGAACTTAAACGTGATCTTCATCAAGGATGAAGCTGTAAGTGATGGCGCAGCCAAGGCACATGCATGGGTGAAGTGATAGGCCAAGCAATGGAAAGACAAAGACAAAGGAAGGCAAAGTCAAAGACAAAGGCAAAGTCAAAGACAAGGGCAAAGGGGGTGGCCCCAATCATTTTATCCTATTTGGACACACATTTTACAAAATGCTAGCACATGGTGCTATACGACCTCATGCTACAGAGAACAAAATTCTCAGCTCTTGTTAGATCGGCGGCTCAAGTGAAAAGGAAGCGCGAGGAAGATCACAGATCAGGAACTTCGCATCAAGCGCGCTCCAAGCGGAAATGTTTCCAAGTAAAAAAGCTAGAGATGGGATAAGCTAGAGATGGGATTAATGAGTTGCGATTCTGAAATGAAAATCGAGAAGTGATTTAATAAATACAATCGGACGGTGAAACAGTTACAACCACCCATATCACAATGTTGTAGATCACAGATACCTCGGCGCCTCTAACACCGACCACCCGGCAACATTGCTATGACTAACCTTGCCACTCGACCCAGCCACCCATCGGTCAGACCCATACGCGACGCTGGTTCGTTGTGTTGTTGCGACGGATGTGATGAAAATATTTCTATCTCTCTCTCTCTTATTAGGTCTTGAGAGCGAATGTACAAAGAAGCCCATGATGCGTGGAACATGTCTAATGAGTAAAGCATCCCCCAGCCTCTATAATTCCCAGCACCAAATTTTTAATCACCACAATTTCTCTCTGAATATGATTAGGAGCCTTTGAAGTGTTAAAAAACGAATTTATTGCAGTTTTATTTTTTTACCTTTTAAGCTCCACTACGCCACTGGATCGAATTTCAAAAACTACAAAGCTATTTCGTCCTTGGCTCAGTCGTAACCCTCCATCAAAGTTTAATCAAAGTTCGACCAGTAGTATCCAAGTTAGTGTAAGCGAGGCCAATCACTAGCGGACAGAGAGACCGACAGACAGACAGTTCGACTGACAGACAGGCGGAAATAAGTGACATGCTTCATTTTCCTATTTTAGGTAGTTACTTTCAAATTGCAACCACCACAAGAATTTCCAAATCTTATCTTCCTACCCCCATATTCTAGCATGTGCTCCATTACAGCTCCACCCCTCCTTTACACAAAGACCTTCCGGATCGATGCGACCGCAGAATTGTGGGTTGCCTAACAGTCGACATTAATGCCGAGAATTATGGAGGTGACCCATAAACGACTGTTTGCTCAAACATTGGTCGAGATTATTGGTACTTTTATTGGTACTTCATTGGGATTTACTTCGGAAAATGGCCAATAACTTTTGGATTTCAGACGAATGCGCTGTATTGAGGCGGAAATAAAAATGAATTGCCATCATGAAAATGATATACATGATATAGGTCAGTTCTAGAAATGTGCCTTTTCATATAACGGTAACGCAAATATCAGGAAATATGCTTGCAGATTCAAGTAAGCAGCAACATATGATAGCTAGACTAATGCAAGAATAGATCAAGGAACAGTTTGGTTTTAACGGTACATCACACAAAATAAAAGTTGAAACTCTTTTTTTATACTGCTCACATGTATGGAGTGGTGCCATTCCGACGTCATGACCCATGCTCGATGCTGTTTGAGGAGGGTTGTCCGATTGATCGATGACTTTTCTATAACAGACAGTCTCAACACCCTTTTGAACCGACGGGCCGTCCGCGTCGGCAATCTCGCTTTCTTTTACCGCTATATTTGTTATACCGGAACCGCTGCGCAGGTAGAAGCTTAAATACCAAGGCACTGCAGTTGCTATGAAGAAGTTGAAGAAACTTTGTTAAGCCTAAGGCTAGTACAACTGGGAAAAGCCTACCTCCTTTTGTAGATTGTTCCACAATCTCGACACCCTAGGGTCAAAGGAGCGGTCGTATCGGCCAGTTCTGGTTGTACGAAATTCGAGACGCTTAGGATGAGAGGCCGAAGTCAGACGGGTTTGTATGGCAGACACATCCTGAGGCCGTATCAGGGACGAGAGCTCTGAGGAGCAAAACCCGTTGGCGTAGCGGTAGATGAGAGCTAGACGGCCCGTCGGTGCGAAAGCGTCCTGAGACTGTCGGTTGGGTAATGTAGTCTTATAACATTTCTGAAAGCTTTCTAATTTTTTCAAAAATTATTTAATAAAAATATTGTAGATCGCACCACCTATTACTTGTTGAAACTCTTCCATCATGTGCTCAAACAGTTCAATTCATTGTGCAAATTTCACAATACAATACAGAAGAAGTAACGCATTTTGATTCTATTTGAAAAATTTGAAACGCATTGCGACTTCTCCAATGTTTTATTGTTAAACTTGTACAACGAGTAATACTATTCGATCACGAGTTTTAAATTCAATACACAACATGCTCAACATATGTTTCAATTTGCATATGCGAAATAGACTCACGTGATCTATTTGTTGTCATTTAAGCCATCTAGTAGCTGTTTGATTTTTTCGAAAACCACCATCTGAAGCATTGAAATACAAAGTTTTGATATCTCTATCTTTTTCGGGTTCCTAGAAGAGCCTACCAAATATCGTATATGTAGTCAAACCGACGTATACGAGCAAAGCTTCAACATGGCTCAATGGCAGAATTGTCGAACCTTTCGAAAAGCTAGGTACCCCTAGCCATCTATTGATCATGTCAAAGATTTACTTTGACGAGAGGGCAAAAGCCGATGAAGGTAACCATGAGAGTGCCGCAGGGTCCTTCCTAGGGCCGTTGCTTTGGAACGTGTTCTACGATGGGGTTCTTCAGACCTTCAGATGATCGTGACTAGCAAGGAAGGACTCTAGGCATACGGAATCACGGGAAGAAAATGGGTTGAAACTAGCTCCCGAGAAGATGGAAGTAGTTATACTCTCTGACAGACAGGAGCTAACTTCATTAGCTGTTAAGATTCGGAGCTAAAATGCAATTAAGTATCTGGGTATGTGGCTTTACAAAGATCTGGAGATGATTAAGCATATAAGGTGCACCACTGATAACTTAAACAAGGTCATTGTAACTCCGATACAGCTAATGCCATCTGACGGAGGCCCCAGTAGTGAGAGGTGCAGGATTTTGGCAGGGTGGTAAACCCGATGTTGCTGTACGGAGTTCCTATATACAGGGTGGCGCATCGAAAACGAAACAGACGCATTTAATGGCAGCACAGTTTTTTTTTTAAAAACGCTCAGACCCGTCGATTTCGTTTTCGAGAGGGACACAAGTTTGGCAAAAAATCACGTTAACACGTGCAGCCCCCTGGGCGGGGGTGACACCAACCCTGAAATCTTAAATGGACAGGGGGGTCGAGTGATACCTTGTTTTGAAGGTCTTTCAATTCCCTTTATAATGATGTAAAATACATGAGCTTCAGTTCAGTAGTTTTGAAGATTTATTGATTTAAAGCTTAAAAGACTTTAATAGGTACATCAGATTAGTTTGTACTACTTTCAGAAGAAATTTGACTAAAAGAATTTACTTAATAAGTAAATGCTGTTCTTCACTATGCCCATGGTTTGTTTATAATTTTGTTGTTGAAAATATCTATTGGAGCGTTTTTTTTGTGGCAAAAAAGTTATTTCTTGAAGAAAGATTAGGAAATATCTCGTACTTATTTTAAATAGGAATTTAGTACATAGTTTGCGATTGATTTGACCAAACTTTGTTGCTAAAATAACTTGTAACGCTTTATTACATAAATTAACCATGGTATATTCCACAGCAGAAAGAGTTGAAAATATCGAAATATTTTTCGGAAATAATCAGCGCGCTAATAGAACAGCAGAAATATTTAATGAGCGACATGAGAACAGTAACGTGCATCGAAAATATGTTCTAGAACTTGTAGCTAAATTTCAGGAAACTGGGTCAGTCGCCAATAAAAAGCCCAACATTGAAAATCCTATAAGGACCGAAGCATTAGAAGTGGGGGTTTTAGGGCAAGTTTATGTAGATCCTACGTTAAGTACCCGCAAATTGGAGACTGTGTGTAGTGTTAGTCGACGTACTGTCCAAAGGATTCTAAAGGCCCATAGTTTTCATCCGCATAAAAATCACCTGGTGCAAGAACTTAATGAAGACGATTTTGATCGGCGATTACAATTTTGTGAAGATATGAGTGAACGAATTATAAACGATGAACATTTTCTATTCAACACTTGCTTTTCCGACGAATATTCCTTTTTCTTAAATGGCGATGTAAACCGTTAGTTGGTCCTTTATTCTTACCTGGCAATTTGACCGGTGAAATGTATTTGGAATTACTGGAAGACTCCATAATCCTGCATTAACAGCCATAATTGAAAATC